ATTACGCTTCACGTAATAATTATCCGTAACTTCTATTCTTTCCCGCTTCACAGCATTATTTATATTTGTTAAAAAATGTGGAACGCTTCACGATTTTGCGTATTTCACATATACACAGATACATATAGAGCAAGTGCACAAAATAAGTACTAAAAATTTTAAGATTGAGAGATTTATAAAAATTTTCGAATGCTATTGTAATATTCTTAAAAGTGTCTGTAATTCCGACTCGACAAATTAGTTTATATTTTACAATTTACTTTCTACCTCGAGATTTAAAAAATAATATTGAATTTATTAAAAAAAAAAAACAAGACGAAAAATTTTCAATTGTAAGAATATATTGAATAATTACTCTATTCAAAATTGACACTTGCCAATCTAAAGCTTTATATAATTTTTTTTTTTTTCAAAATTAATAAAAAACTATCAAAAATTTTAACAATAACTCAAATACTTATAATTAAAACTTTTTAAACCCTGCTGATTTTAAGTTAGTTTCGTTTAATGGTAAGAATAATAAAAACAAATGACGACGCATATTTTTCCGTAAACATTCTTTTCCGCTATATGAACATACAAAATACAAAAACAAGAAAGTTTTAACCTTATGACAAGATAAAATCCAATGTACATAAAAAGTAAATGATATATTGAAGTAACAATTACGAAAGTAGTTCAAAAGAGTTGTATCAGCGTATTATCACATATAATTTTAGATTTAATTTTTAAAGTTAAGAAAAAAATAAAAATAGTGAAAGAGATAAAGCCTTTCGTCTTGGCTTTTCTATAATAAATACGAAAAATAAAATTCAACACACTTAAATTCAGTAATTAATAAGTAAATGCGACGTTTAAAATATAAAAGAGAAAAAACACATTTACAAGAAGAAATGAAACTTATAAGGAAGAAAAAGTCGTTACATATTCATAACGCCTTTGTTCATTATAGCTTTGTCGACGTTTTTTTTTTGCATCAGTATAGAGCCATTTTCACGAGCGATTTATTGCAAGTATAGAAGACTTCTTAAAAAAAAATGTGAAAAAAATATTCGCTAGTGTGAAACTCTTTAGAACGATGAGTAGAAACATTTAACAACTATTAGAGAGTCTAGACAAAAGAAATCTGATTGTATGAATGAACATTTACTTCTATTCCATATTTCTTAACTTTAAAACTCGTGATACATCAAGCTCTTGCGTATAATGTGTTTCATTAAAAGTGTAAATATTTATGTTTCCAGAAATAAAAAATTTCGTATCGTGTCCTTGCAATTTAGAAACACTTCAATGTCGAAGCACCGATAATCACTCTAGTATGACCATTTTTATTTAGTATAAATACCCTAGAAATATGGATGGAATCTAAGCTGAAGTTATCAGTCTAATTGATCTATTAACACTATCAACATGTACGCACTTAAGGTAAGAGAAACAAATCGAAATTTATTTTTTCAAATAATATAGTATACCTTTTTTTCAAACAATTTTGTCAATTACTTATTAATTTTATAAGTAAAACTTAAAATTAGTGTTGTTAACAATTTGATATTTTTTTTTTACTCGGGCCAGAAACCGAAAATCAGGATTTGGACATATAGACACAATTAACTTTTTTTTTTTTTAATTTGAATATTTTGAAACTAATAAAAACATCAAATTAAAAAATTAAGAAAATTTTTGACTTTTAGAATCCAAAAACAATTTTTTTAATTCAAGAAAAATCTTTGCAATTTTTTAATTCTTATTGAAGTATCAATTTGATTTAATAAAAAATAATAATTTTCTTTCAATTTTTGTCGGCAAAATTAAATTTTATTAATTCTTTCACAAAAAAAAAAAATATCTGATGGAACATATTTAAGCTTTATTACTTTATTTGAACAGAAATATATTTTTGGCTGTTTCACAATTTTCACGATTTATCATTGAATTATCAATTGTTACTTTCAAACTTGAAATTCTGGTCTATGAACAAGAAAATCTTACTATTTTTTCAATAATTAGCAATTATAATAAAAATATTGTTTTTAAAACTATTATTCATCGGAAAGAACGGGCGTAGACGGAATAAGAAGTTTTGCGCTCAGATGAGCTAAAACTTCTTATCTTATTCTTTATAAAACTTTTATTAAAAAAAGAATAAATTGATTTTTTTACTTCAATCAAAAGAAAATTTTTTGCTCAGCAGAATCAAATACTTTGCAAATATAACTAATAATTTTTTTTAATTCAATATTGATGAATTAAACTAAATTTAAAATATTGCTAAAAAAAAATTTTATTTTATTATTACTAACAATTGAAAAAAAATTAACATTACAGCTCTTAATGGTTATCCTTTTTATATTCATTATAAAAAGTAAAGCAACACCAGTTGAGTATGAAAATTATGATGACTACGATTCATACAATCAAGACTCTGAGAATAGTTACGAAGAAGAATCATACCCAGATGAAGGATACTCAGGCTATGAATATGATTCACACGATAATAACTACGTAAGTGCAGTCTAATTAAATATATCTTATGAGCTTGAGTTTTTATTAAGCAAAAGCGAACACATTATAATATATAATAATACGCAACTAATTTATTAATTCTTAATTGTGACCTAATATAGGACTTTGATTCCCCGCTAGTCTCATCCGCGGTACGCTTTTAATTACGGAGTGAATGATCCGTACACGGGGGACGTAAAGAGCCAGGAGGAAGTGCGGGGTGGTGATGTTGGTCAAAGGATCTTACCGTATAAATGAACCGGATGGAACAATCAGGATTGTCGAGTATACTACTGATAATCACAACGGATTCAACGCTGTTGTCAAGAAAATTGGACATGCTGTACATCCCATTTCTTCTGTTGCTAAATACCAATCCATTATTCCTATTCAGCTCCCATTTAACTATTATCGTCATCTTTATTAATTAATAATTATAATTATCTAATACAAGATATTAATCTTGTTAATTAGTTCGATTTAATGATAAAGAAAAAATTCATTATTTATATCTTCATGTACTGAAATTTATGTTAATTGTATACAAAAATAAAGACTATATATATATTTATCGAAAATTATCAAAGTTTAAGCAATTTTCCTCATGTCAATCCGTGAAAAAATTTTCTAATATCGTCACCTAATGCCATATGTGAGAATTAAAAAATGACTTTTCAATTCATTATTTTTTCTAGAAATATGTAGATCTATTAAGGAGGTATTACCCCAAGAAAAAGACACCAATAGGTTAGGGCTATTGGTTTCTTTCTCACGCACTAGTGCTGCCTCTCTTTACAGAATATCGCTCACTTACTTCTACTCACGTAAAATATCGAAAGTCACTAACTTCAAACATTTCTTATAAAAAAAATGAATACCGCTTGTTTGTGTTATTTTTGATAAAAAATACTTGTTATAACTTCAATTAAATATTCTCAGTTTTTCAAAAAAATCCTAAGAAAAGTATGGTTGTTATTCAATAAAATGTTCACTCTAACTGCGGTAAGGATTAGGGAATACATGTTAAATGTACGATTTTTAATTGCTAATATTTCGACTATTAAAAAAAATTTATTTGCATAGAGCACACTTAAAAGTACGCCTATTCAAAAATTGATGAATATTGTAAGAAAAGTTATTTTGCGCAGTAGCTCCTTAAGATGTCGATCAAACGAAAATTAGTTTTTATAACTGATTAAACTGAAAATCACTGTCAGATAAGCTCCTTAAGAAAGTCCTAAAACTTTTTTCAGTTTTCAAAGATTTTTATTGATATCATATAAGTATAATTAACATAGTTATTACAATATTATTACAGTATTTATGATTTCTAACCGTTGGTCTCTACTCACATTCAATATATATAGTTTTTGTTTATGTTTTATATATTTTATGAAAAATAACATACAAGATATTTATTATTTTTAGGAAAAAAGTTTATAAAAAAGCTAATTAGATTTATTGTCCAAAAACTAATTTTCATTTTTAAGTTCAAGACCTCAAACTTAATTCTTTTCCAAAGAGATAATTCAATGATCGTGCGCCACTTGTCGGGAATTTTCAATACTATTTTGGTCGAAAAATTATGTATGGGCATATATGACCATATCAGGCCATACATAGACTAATCAAATTTTTTAATATGGCCATATATGGAGATATCAGGCCATATTAGAAAATTTTTTCACGAAAATTGTCTCTATTATATTTTTATTACACTCGTAGGACTATAAAGATGTATAATTAATTCATTATTAAGATAAAATGAAGCATAAACACATCTGATGCTTAAAAAAACAACATTTTGTTTGATTTATTAAAAAAAAAAAAAAAATATAATAGATGTCAATTAGTCTGTTCGTATGTGTTCTCTTTGTAAACACTTTAGCTGTCAAAATGTTTGATGGATTGACACCCTTTTTTGATCAGCTTTAGAATGACCCCGAACAGTAGCTGTTTTAAAACAACTATTTTATTCGGTATTGTTTAGTTATAATTAATAAAAAAAAAAGAAAAATATTGACTTTTTATGTGTCTACGTCTGTGTATAAATAATATTTAGTCTCAGACCACTTATGTGTGTTATTAATCAAGTGATTTATAGTTTTAGTGCATGCATGTCATATTTATCATCTGAGTAGGGAAAGTGCAAATCATTTGAAATGAAAATTACGTCACTATTTGTATAATTATTCTAACACGTTCTTAGAACGACACATTTTTTGTTTTTTTTTATTATTTAAAAATTTTTTTTATCAGTTATCGAAGATGATTTTTCTTTTTTCTGTTTAACTTTGTAATTTAGAAATTTTATTTCATTAAAAACTTATTAAAATTATTATTTTATTAAAATTAAAAACTGAATAAACGTTCTTCAACGTAACATTCTTTTGCCATATCGAATTTTTCATCTAACAAATTCTTAAACCAAAAATAATAAACCAGAAAAGTGTTTGTTTTCGTTATTTTAACTCATGAAAAATGAAGATATTAATCAGTGTCATCAACTCACCACTTGATATGATCTATTTTTAATAATATCTCGAAATTAAAAATTCAATTTAATATCTCGCGCCTCTCTTCTGAATAACTTGCTCAATTAATCATGTTGTCTGCCTATTTCGTCTTTAATTAACATAAAAGATAAATTTTGAGAAAATAATTATCCAATTTTTCAGTAGTGGATAATTGTTTCAAAATTATGCAATCATTTTGCTCTGATAATAATTATTCAATTACCGTGACAAATTACTTATTTATTAAAATAAATTACTAATTACTGAACTATTAACATGTTGACTTTTTATACCAATTAGTTATGATGTTATGATATACACTCCACGAGATTTATATCATTTCTCAATAATTTATAAGCTTAATTAACACGTTTAACTTCATGTTTAATACCTCAATTAATTTATTAATTAATACTCTTCAATTTTATTTTCATTGAATTTAATTATTAACAAAAGTTTTCATTAATTATTTTTTAAATTATAATACATAAAAAATACTTTTAACAATAAATTTCTTTTATCATACACCAAAATTAATTTTCGACTCCACGTTTTTTAATATTTTCTTTCAATTGATTTTTTTTTAGGGACATTTTGGTTAGTAACTTTCAAAAAAAAAAATTTTTTTCTCTACATTTTTCAAAAAAAGATATATCTATAAATATTGTGTTGAAATTTATAAGTGATCGGTCCACTGTTACTAGATTATTTTACGATATTTATGCGGATATTCAAGTAGAAAGAAATCAAATTTTTAAAAAAACTGAAGGGATTTTGTATGGCATCCGCATCGTTGATTGACTTTAGGTAAGATGTTTTTTTTTAATTAGAAAAAACTTTAATCTCAGAAACGTTTATCTCAGAACTATGTTTTTTTGGTTGACTAACATATTATCTTCGGGGCCACTGACCCGATCTTAATGAAATTTAAATTACATATCCTACATAGTAGTAGTTATTGCATCAGCTACAACGAAATCAAAATTTCGATTTTAACTATTTTTTTAGGACTAAAAGCTGTAAAAAAAAAAAAAAACCTAATTTTTCAGGTTTCTTTTAAATGTCCGCAATTTTGTTATTTATCAATAAATATTAATCTCCGTAGCTAATGCATTAACCACTTATATATTAAACGTAAATAATTTTGGTTTTTGTATTTTAGATGAACTGTCATCAAGTTATCATATACGTCAGCAATATACCAACTTTTGGAGGAGCTCCGTTCACCCGTTGTTTAATCATATAAAAAATTTAAAAAAAAATAAATTTATATATTTTTTTTGTTATTCAAGAGTGTATTTATCGTGCTAAATAAATTTTATATGAACATCTATAATAGTTATTGTGTCAAAAAATCATGAACATTGGCTTTTCTTGAGCGCCGGAATCAGAATGATCCCTTAAAATTTTTTTCCAATTTATTTATTTTCATATAATTAAAAACAATTTTTTTCTCTTAATGTTTTCTTGTTATTAATTTTTTTTATATTTTCTTTGATTATCAATTTTTTTTACAAAAAAAAAAAATGATCGATTTATATTTTTTTTTAATTTGAATTTGATTATTTTTAAAAACTTCAAAAATTTTTTATTAGATTAAGATCTACAATGTTAAACTGTAGATCCATTATAAATTATTATTATACATTAAAATCCTACCATTAATATTAAAAAGGCCTCAAAATAAATTTATCTTTCACCGTAATCTTACAATAAAAGTATCTTTATCTCCGGTCACTTATAAAGGGCCACCCAATTTAAATTAATCCCTTTGAAACGTGACAAATTTCTAAACTAACAAAATTCCAAAGTTACGATTGTACAACTGTTTTATACCATAAATAATAAACAAGCTATCACTCTTTCAAATATAGATCGATCAATTTCCACATCGACGAATATTAATAATCAATCAGCATTAATTTATTAAAAAACTTTTATTCAATATCAATAAACATACATTACAAACCCAGTTGTCAATAAAATATTTCAACTAGATCATATCATTTGTCATTTGTCATTGCGTCGATTGCACACCAGGCATTAAATAAAACTAAAAGGAAAGACATTTCTTTCGAACGAAATTGAATTGTTCAAACATAAGATTTCTAATCAACGAAAACAATCTGCTCTCGTACTAATAACCAAACAAATATTTATCAGACCAGACGTGTCCCACAATCCTATATTGTAAAACTTTTCCTATTTTTTGCCCTTACTGAAGTATTGCCCTCGAATATATTGCGACACTCTCACATTACGAAAGTCACTATTTGATATAACAATACTTTGTCCGGAATAATTATTTATGACAACTATCACTTTAATGAAAGTATATCTGTATTTATACTAATAAATAAATCTATATAGTTTTTCATCTTCGTTTCGTCACAACTAATTAATTGCCTTCCCAATTGGGACGAAATTTTTTGTAATGTAGTAAAAAAATACACTGACTTAAATTCAGGGCAATTTTTACGAATATTGAATCATATCCACAGACAGAATATTACTTATTAATAAATCAAGAATAATTAATATTAATTAATAAATCAAAAAGTAATTACAAGATGAAAATAGCAACGTCGAGTGTTAATTAATGTTTTTTTCTTCGAACATTTAACTTTTAAAAGTTAGTATTAATAATTAATATTGTTGAATTGATTACACAGTATCCATAAGTAGATATTGTTGATATCACTTCTGGAATAAACGTCAATATTATAGCTGTGTATAACACCAGATTCGTATAATTCATCTCTTTTTAGTAGTTTTCATAGAAATCTAACTAGTGCATCGGTCCTCATGACGCAACTTTTAAAAAATTTTGCTACATTCCGATTTAACCCAACAAGCTGAGTGAGAAAATACATATGGTTCAAAAGTTTATAAATGTTGGCGATGGTGTCTACGATTCGCAACGGATCTTTGAACTTAATCGGACATGTAGTCTTCAAATTACAGGATTTTGAAATTTTCAAAATTTTAAAAAAACACTTTCTTACAGTTAATTTATCAAGTAACTTTTGAATGCGACATTGTATTGAATGTCTGTAAAATATACCTGAAAGCTCTTTGAATAAGCTTTAATTTTTATATTTTGATGTATAATATGTGAAATAAAATTACATTCAAATCTGCTATTTTTTCATGAAATTTACTGTATAGCATTAGTTTATTTTCCCCGAAATTACTGAAATTTTAAAACTTTTAATTGATTAAACTCCTTTAAACTTATTATTTTTATTGAAGTATGAAATTTACTTTCATTTCAGCTGCCGAAGGGCCTTTTTTTAATTCTTAAATTCTCATTACAATTAAGTCACCTATTACTTAGTAACAGTTATCATGGCAACAGTTTCCATGTTAATTGAAAAAAGGCCATTAATCATCGTAGAAAATTAATAACAATAAAACCGCCACATTAATTTTTGAATAAAAACCTTCATATAGATAAAAAATTTATTTTAAAAAAAATTAGCAATATTGTAATAAGAAATGAATTTGTTGAAAATTTTCAACGATTTTATATTTTATCTAAAATTTTTTTAACAGTAACTTTCTTGTTGAGAAAAAGTTTTCTAGTTTTGGAAAAAAACAATTTTGGATGAAAATTCGCAAGTTATTTATCTAAAATTTTTTTTTTTTAACAAGAAAGTTACTGTAAGAAAAATTTTAATTTCTTCGACTGAGAAGTAAAATTGTTTAAAATGTTCAACAAATAAATTTCTTATTACAATTCCCATTTTTCTCAAAATAAATTTTTTTTTTCAATGTATTTCAAAAGAAAACTAACTTATTAACTGTCCACGAAGTACACAATAGATACACAGAAGCACAGAAGACCTAAAGCAAAAGTCAGTGTGTTCAGCCAAGTAAAAAAAATAATTATAAATAATTAGCATTCATACTCTATTTACGTGTTTATTGATTGAGGATACTGGTCACCAGAGTTTAAATGACTCAGAGATTAATCAACATTCCATTGATGATCACCTTGGAGCCGCCCATCGCCCGTAACAAGATCCTTACAACTAATTTTTATAAAACAGTGGCAGTAGGTCTACGTCATCAGCTGATCCATTAGGCCACCGGCTTTGTCATGAATTTTTTTCACCATCACTCTTACTATTACCGATACGTTACCGGGCTCATGTATTTTTACTTTTACGTCATCTGGATCGGAGTTTTTACTTTAAATAAAAGACCGTGAAAAAACTTCTGCGTGCTCTAAATTCGAGCCGAAATATTAAAAGTGAAAATACTCCCTCTCAGAAAATCTTTTTTACTATTATGCGTGATATTGTTGTGTGTAACCAAACCGGCCTTCGAGAGCCGGACACTCCCGCTGCCACATTTAATTCGGTAATGAGCACTAGCACTAGCTTGGTGGGAAAAAACATAAATGAAATTACTTTTATGATTATGGCGGAGACCTTGAATTACACAACCGATGGACACTTATTGGGGGTAAGCTTGAGATTACGCATTTTATTGGGTGTCTCTAGGAGTAATTTTACCTGCTACTACCATCTACAAGTTCTTTCTGAGGGAGTATAAAAGACCAGGTAACTTTGTGCTAAAGTATCAGTTACTTCTCGCTACTGAGATCATCATACATTAACTTTAAAATGTTTAAGGTAATTTTTCAAAGTGCATGATAGTAATTATTCATTAATTTTTATTGTTGAGTTTTTGGATTTCATCTAAATTTAAATTTTCAAATTTTAATATTTTTTGAATTGCGCAGCTTTTCGTTTTGGCTGCTTTGGCTGTTGCCAGTGAGGCTTCCTACGCGGATTACGACGGCTATGTTAACTCCAATGTTGGATACGGATCGTACTATGGACTTGGACATGGACATGATGGATCTTATCAGACATTTGTTGCACCTGTAGTTGCTGATGCTCACTACCAACACGGAGTTTATGGACACGGTTACGATGGACACGATTACGAGGGACACAATGTTTATGATCATGGATTGAACCATCATGACACTTATGTGAGTTTCTAGTTCTGCTATTTCATTTTTTACTGTCAGCTCTTTTTGATTAATATTTTTATTTATTTCATTCAAAACTTAGAAATAGTAATATTTATGCCTTTTTTCTTTTTTTATTAAATCGAGTGAGAAAATTTTAAAATAATTTTTTAATCAATATTCAATTGTTAAATGATCAAACTTTTCAATTCGAGAATTCTTTTGTGTATATATATTGAAATGATCAACAAAAAACAATTTTTGAATATTGAATTTTGTAAATATATTTTACGTTTTTATTATGTTTGTTTTAATTAGTATTTGTTCCATTATAAAATTTTTTAACTCAACAATTTTTTGTCAAATAACAATAATAATAATAATAATAAAATAAAAAAAAAACAAGGTGAAATGTATAATTTGGTCTTTTCACCTGATTCTTTTTTACTTCATTAATTTAAAGACCTGATTTTTCCAATATGAATAATAATAATAATAATAATAATAATAATAATAATAATAATAATCAGGAAAAAATTTTTAAGTACTAAAATTTTTTTTATCAACTGTCAGTTCATTTCAATTAATATTTAAAGTTTTTTTAATTTTTTTAAATTTAAAAAAATGAAACATCAAAATTTTATTTAAATAAAATATTAAGTTAATTTTTTAATAAATCTCAATTTTTTCAGTTAGAAAATATCTCTTACAGTGATTATTTTACAGATTATTATTTTTTATAGATTTTTAAAATAATTTTTTATTAAATATTTAAAGGAATTTCTGATACTGAAAATTATAAAAATACTCATAATTTTTCACGTGAATTTTTTTTAATATTTGTTTTTCCATAAAAAAATATCATTACTTCAATTACAAAAATTTCATCACGTACAATTAATAACTATACATTTACCAAAGATTGATAAATTAATTAAACAATATCAAAAATCAATCTAAACTCTGTTATAAATAAAAAAATAAAAAATGTTGAAATAAAAATAAAATTTAATTATCTTGTTGATAAAAACAGGCACCAGCGAAGTACGCTTTCAACTACGGAGTAAACGACCCCCACACCGGTGACGTAAAAAGCCAAGAAGAAGTGCGTGAGGGTGACGTAGTTAAAGGGTCATACCGCCTGAATGAACCCGACGGTACCATCCGCATTGTCGAGTACACCGCGGATCCTCACAATGGATTCAACGCAGTAGTAAAAAAGATCGGACACGCTGTCCACCCTGCCCCAGTTCCCGTAGTGAAATACGTAGCCCCCGCGTATGCTCACCACGGATACTAGGATACATTAAATTTAATTTAATTAACTTAAGTAAAAAAATTACATCAGCTCGTCTGCATAATTTCGACTCGCCCAGATGTGTTCACCCAATTATTAAAAAATACTCTCACTTTTAAATTTATATCAATTAAAGTTATTACTGAATAAATTATTTTACTTAAATAAACAATTACTTTATTTCTTACCTAATTTCTTAATTTTTTATTTTTATTTACATCTGCATATAAATTATATGTAGTAAGCGCAAGTAAAAAAAACTTTTCATATAATCGATGGCTGACACCTAAAAGTACTTAACAGTTTTAAATCCTGCGTTGAAAAATAACCATAACAATGAAAATAATTTAAATTCACGTTGAAGTAACAGTATTATCGACTGAATAAAAAAAATAAATAAAAAATACTAGAAACCTGCAGTTTCTACATTGAAAAAAAAAAATTAATTTAAACCAAGAAAAAAATTCTTGAACCAAAAAAATAATTTTGAAGTTTCTTTGTCTTCAATCGAGACGAAAAATTCTTGAGTCAAGCAAAATTAACTCAAATCAGGGAAAAATTTTTTAGTTTAAGAATTTTTCTATTCAAATAAAGAAGATGAAGTTTTTTAAAATTATTTACTTGATTCGAGTAAATTTTTTTCTGTGTATGTGACTGCCGAAATTGACAGATTATGGATATGAAGCTTTGGCTTAAAGTAGTTGTCATGATACAATATTGTCAAAAAATTAGAGATTATACGCGCTGCAAAAGTATATGAGCTTGTAGCTAAGTAATCCATAATTTTTACGCAAGACTGTGCCCGTGGAGACGCAACCGATACAGTATTAATTGTATGTATACACTTTTTCATAAATTATTGAACTTTAATATGTTATTTATAAATAATTAGACGGTCAAAAATTTTTTTTTAAACTCACAACAAATACATTAAAAGACTGTCAGTTTTTTGAAAGTTTCTGTCAGCTAGTTTTTTATAACTAAAAAAGCTGGTACAGAACTGCAGAGAGCGTATTCTGCTTCAAAAAAAAAATATAACGTTGGTCAATATTTGTTTATAACAAATTGTTTAACTAATAAACAATTAAATAATTAATAAAAAAAAAATTTTTTTGCCAAACTATTTAAAAGTGTAAATTATGATTTTTACAAGCAAAATTTTTTGTTAATTAATTATTTAAACAATCGAAATATAAAAAAAATCGTTTTTAAACTATTAAAAATTAAAATTAAGAAAAAAAATTTTTTTTGTAAATCATAATTTTTTGTAAACAACAAAATAGCAAAAAAAAATTTTTCAAAAGTATTGAATTTCTCTATTTGTTTATAACAATTTTATAAACAAATTACGTAAAAAATTCATAACCTATGTTAATTACTGCCATTGTTCAATGTGAAAACAGACATAGCTAAATATTAATTGAAAAAAAAATTTTTATCAACATTTTTTAGATTTTTAATTTTTCAATAGTTATAAAGAATCATAATTAACAAATTAATAAACTTTTATGAAAATTTACCGCAGGATCTTACAAAGTACATATATCAAAAGGGCTCCACGAAGTTTAAAATTTATAGGCCTATTATTTATACCTTTCATCCAATTGTTTATGCTAATGGAGATTGGGAAAAAATTTGTTAGTTAACAATTGAATAACTTTTTGAAAAATGGTGATTAAACTTTTTTTTCTCCAGGGCTCGATTTTTTCAAGTGTTAAGAAGATACTAGAATTTTTTAAAATTTTTAAAATCACATTTTATGTTATAAAAAAATTATTTTTATTGCTAAACTCTCTTTAGCGGCGGCGCGCGCATGCCGTAACAGCCGCGCGGAGCCCTATTTTCAACGTCTAATTAAAATTATAAATAATGGAGATAGAGTTCCGGGAGTTGAGACTTTTCTTATTGGAAATTTCCTCCTCTTTAACGAGCTTTTTTCAAAATTGCTTAAATGTTAATATTTTTCGAATTATTAACAAAAAACGAAATATAATTTTTTTTCATCTTATTTTGTTAATAACAATTGCAATTTTTAACCTGCACCAAAATCCTTCAAAAATATTTTTCTAGAGGTGATTCCGAACCGAATGAGCCATCGCTCATACTTTTAGGACCTTTATCTCTATTTTTCACGTTTTTGAACTTGTAGACTAGTTTTGATATTTTTATTCACAATATACATAGTTTGGGTACTTTTTAAATAGATTTTTAAAAATAATAGTGCTATGACAGAATCAATTACAAATAATTTAATGGAAAAATGTGACTGAAAAATATATAAAACCGTGAAAAGGCATAAATTCTTATTAAGACCTTTCTGACGATACCAAATTTACCTATAAAAATTCCTTTAAAAATAATAATATGCTCGTCACAGAATTTTCTTTACTCTCTCAATCTCAATTATTTAAATCATAAATAACTATCGCTAAAAAATATCAAATCCAATTTATGATAAAGATATATCCGTTACAAAATTTTTCTTAGTCTCTTAATTATGCAAATTAATTTTTGACCTATAACTGCATTCACATATACAAAATATATTAAGTAAATAAACGAATGAAGTTTATCGCGAAATGTGGATCTATCTATAACTACTCCGAAGTCTTATCATAATAAATTAACTTTTGCTGAAAAGCATATGATACATTGAAAAGGCACAAATTCAAGTCAAGATCTTTCCAATGATATTAAATTTTTAATTTAAAAAACTCATTTTATCATACAAATACGCTGGGAAAAAAATTTTCCTTATATAGATAAAATATAAAATTAAAAATGAATAGACTTACCATTGATCCGTCGAAAAGTTTGTGCGCAATAATACTTGTACTCTCAAACATATTCTTCCCGGGACCGGATGCAAAACACATTTCATTCTTCCCAGGACAAGTGTACGAAGACGAGCACTCATCACCCGAAAACTCGCACTTGGGACCTCGGGTGTTGGGGGAAACATCTCCCAAGTTACTCGAAGCAAAAGCTGCTACAAAGTCACCCTAAAATATATACACATATTTTTTTAATACTATGCATTTAAATATCATGTCATTATTTTAGATTAGCCTTTTAGCAAAAGTATACCGTAAAGGTAGAAATAAGCGAATTTTATTCAGAACAAATTTTGACGATGAAAAAAATTATTTGAATCATGAAAATGTTATCTTTAAATTTTCACTTTTGGTTTGAATTATTTAAATTTGATTCATATGAAAAGTGAAAATTTTCAAGAAGAATTTGCTATTACAAATAACTTAACTGTTTCCAAACAATAAGCGAAATGCATTTATATCCTTGTTAATAATTTATTCTTCTTGTATAAAACTAGACAGCAAAATTTATTTAAGATTATACCGTTAAGTTAAAAATTTGCTGTTTAATAATAAATCATCAGATTTCTGAAACTTTCTGTATGGAAAGAAAAGCTTTAAAAACTTTTCAGAATTTATTGAAGCTAAAATTCATATTCATTAAATGAAAATTATAAAAATAATGTAATAAATCTTATCTCTTCATAGAATATCTTTACATTTTAAAATGCCTTAGAACAAATTTTAAGAATCTCTCATTGTAATGTCTAAAACAAAAAAACGCCTGCTTAAAAATCTCTCACCAGTTGATCTCTCAAATATAAAAGCTTTACATTTTGTTAAATTCATGAGTGTTCTTTATTTAAATCACAAAAATATTGAATTTGAATTATTAATAAATTATTTTAAATAAAATTTCTTTTTTATATTATTATTTCTAATTTTTTTATTATTATTATTTCAAGTAAAATATAGAATTTTTGTTTCTGAAAAATTAAAAATATAGAGAATTTTATATTTTAGTTAATTTTTTCCTGATGGATTTTTTACACAGGCTTTTTTTTAGATAAAGATTTTAATCTAAGAATTTAGAAATCAAAAGAAGAAATTTTAAGCAAAATAATCAGTTTTCTTCATAATACTTTTCTTGCTTCAAGATAAATTTTCCTCGATCTCATTAGTATTTCTATCAAAGTATCAATCTATAATTATTTTAAATAATTTTTTTAATTAATTTTGAATTCATAATTATCACTATTTCTGCATTTTAATAAATGCACTTCATTAAATTAAAAAAAAAAAATTATTAATTGAAATTAAGAATAAATTTTCATTAATAAAATTAATTAATTTTGTTAATAATTGTTCTCTGAATAAAATGATTCAACTAGAGCATTTGTAACAAAATATCTCAGTACAAGTACATATTTTTAATTTATTAAAGTCTCGTTTATTAATTACTTGAAAATTAAAAAAAAATAATTTTTTAAAATGTTTGTAATATATAATTTAAAAACCAGATAGTACCTTCCCAATAGGAGCATCTTTGTTAATATATTTCTCAAATAATACAGCAGCATAGCCGACATTATCACTCGAAACAAGTCGATTAGTGTTATTCATACTAGTAGGATGGACTGCAAACCAATTGATAACACCCATGGGACGACCGTCAGCTGCAATAAATTGCAATTGGGTCATGGTTTTGTCGACATCGTAATTGTATCTGAATAAAAAGAAAATAATTAGATGAATAGAAAAGCAAAGTGATTAGATTTGCCCGTATTTGTTATTTTTTTTTTTTTTTTTCGTTGCAAATAGTTTGTGTAATTGTCTAATCGATAAGATTAATTAATTTACTTGTCTCGCTCGAACTGGGGGTTGTTCAAATATGCCATTGGGCTGCGGTTTATATTTGCGTCTAATACTTCTCCATGACCGACAAATAACTTTCCTGGTACTACAGAATCGTGAGCTCGTATAATACTCTGAAAATAAATATCAGTTAATTATTGTTATTTTTATAAATTAAAAAAATTCAGTCATCAATAAAAAATTTAAAAAAATAGTATATTGTATAATTATCAAAAAATTTTATTCCTACGACTCAATATTAAAAATTTTTTGATCATAAATTATTAAGTCAAAATTTAATATCGTTTTTAAATAAAATTTTTGACTTTAAGAAGTAATAAATAGCGTGCAAAAAAATATTTTTAGATTTAAATTTACTGTAGAGCAGTAATAGAAAACAAAAATAATTTTTTTTTAATTTTCTAAAGTTAATCTTTAATTAGCCAGACTTTCACAAGTGTGATAAAATATGCAATTAGAAGAATTTATATTTTTTTCTGGTTATGCTCAGTGAATTTCAATCTAAAAATAACTATTTTTATGCAAAATACTTATTACTTAAAAAAAAAAAAAAAAATATTTATAAACAATATTAAATTCTCAAATAATAATTTTGACTTAACAATGGAGTAATAAGTAGTTTGCATGAAAGTCATTATTTTAGATTAAAAATCACAATAGTGTTGATAAAAAAAAATAACAATTTTAAAAAGTTAATCTTTAAATAGTAAAAATTTCACAAGTATAATGAGATCCGTAATTAGATAAAACTATTCCAAAGATTCTTACCACAAAAATTCCATTGACTATAGCACTAAAGCTTTGCTTGATAAATCCAAATGTCGTCAGATCAAAGAGCATGTACAAGTTATATCCGCCAGGACTTGAATGAGTGTGAGTTGCGCTTATCATCACGTTCTTCTCAGAATACAAATCACCGTACTTTTCTTGCAGTTTACGGATTACCTGAAAAAGTATAAAACATGATTAGAAAATAAAAAATTTAATGTTTATTTAAAACATGAATTTCATTGAAGTATTAAATTTTAAAAAAAATTTGGAAAATCCAAAAGTGTACGACTTATAATGTTCAGTTAAATATGAAATAATAATAAAATAAAAAATTTGAAAAAAAAAAAAATATAAAATAGCTATTATAGGCTAATGTGCAGGTACATTTAGTAAGATAAATCTACATAATATATATATAGATAAAGTCTTTTAATTTTATTAATTGCATTTAAACGATACTGAGTTACATAGCCATTCGCGATAGAGGACCTACAATTCCTTCAAAGAATTAATAAAAAAAGTTAGACTCAATTAATGGACTTTTTCGCAAGTTAGTGTTTACGGGTTTCATACTTGACGGACGGGAAAATTTTTTAAACTATTTAGACGTTTTTTTCCGTTTCTATTACACTAAATCAATTTTCTAAAAGTACGGAATTAATCTCCATTAAATTATCTTCACAGTAGTATGCAAAATATCTTTATTTCATTAACTAACAAGAGTAGAATGGTAAATAATAGTAAAAATAGTTGCCGAAATGAGGCAAAAAAAATTTTTTGATCGTAAAGCACTCGGCTCACTTATGCTTCGCATCATAACTCGTGCAATTAAAAGAATTAACTCACTAAACTGAATTGAAATATTTATTTGATTGAATGAAGTACATTTATCTAGCAGTTAACTAGTAGTGTAATTTTTTATTGATGCATAAATTTAATTGAAGTATGTAATAACAAAAAACATTTAACAAATGCATGACAGCAGTGCATTGAAATACATGTTGGGTGCATCATTATTTACATTGAAAATTTCTATTGAAACTAGACAATGGACGACATTTTTTGCAAATTAAAAAAATATACCAACACCTATTATAGTTCCTTTTTTAAATGCATTGTTGTTATTTTTACAGAACTTCACCTCAACTTTTACGCATCGAACAATATGCATTCGGATTCATTTTTATCCACATTTATTGTTCGATTTAGAAACACGAAAAAATACATTTTTCTATTCATTAGTTTTTACAGTTCAAAGGATTTAGAATTTGGTATCCGCTATGCAGAAGGTTTCAACGAATAGATAAAATGAATGACGTTTAATAGAGCGACACATGGTATTGAGCTTTTTAAGGAAACGTTACTTTGATGTAGTGAAAAAGTTCGCATACGAGATATAGGACATGAGCGCTTTAAAAAAATACTTTATTATAAACATAAATGAGTCACTAACCCAACGACATTGAAACGTGACTCTTTGATCCGGAAGAATATTTACGACGCAATAAACTTTTAAATATTTTTTTTTTTCATTTAGAGTGTTCCTTCTATAGGTTTTGAACTTTTACAAATTAATTTTTGAAATTATTATCATCTAAATAATTATATAAAGGAAATACAGTGTGCAAATTATTGTTCTAAAATTTATTAATTTTTTTAAGCTGTGTGAACCTGAAATCCCGACTTGATGGTAAGGATATCATTTTAAACTGTTGGATTCTCTGAGCAAAAATAAATCCCAGTTACAAAACTTTTAGCTTTATATTTTAGATATTTTCTTCTTAGAAATATTTATTTTAGAAAAATAGTGTATTTTATTTTATTAGTTTTGAAATGTGAAAAATACATTTAAGGCACATTTGTGCAGCTGGAATAAGAAAGCCTATATAGGCTTGATTTTTATTACCTTATAACTATAGTTAAGAAGGAAAACACGTGTTTTATTAAGGACAATACAGAGGATTAGACCCGCAAAAAAAAATAGTTTTAACATTATAGTTAGTCTGCGACTAAACTCTGTCAAGTATAACGACACTTCTCTCGATACGATTATTTAAAAATAAATAAGATTCTATTTGAATCACTCTATGTTTTGATAATATTGTATTTTCTCATTATTTACTATCATACCTATCCATAACTTCCTATATAAACTCACACTTACTACAAACGATGTAAGTAATTTTAAAATTAATTTTTATTTTTTTTAAATCGATATATTGAAGTTGTCTTTACACTTAAATAATAAAATGTTTTAATTGTTTAATTGATGCGATTTTTTTTGCGTGTGATTTAATTTTTTGGAGTATTGCCATTTTCACTAAAAAAATAAAAATTCTTCTACAATTACTTACATCGTTTGTAGTAAAAGTGAGTTTATATGATATTCCTACTATCAAGTCAGGTTCCGGGTTCAGGCAGCTAGCGAGTATTATGACGAAAAATTATATTGTATGTAGGTATGTTCTACTAGCGCCTAAAAATCAAAATTCCAACGTTTCGTCACATAAAATCGTATTTGAAATTTTTTTTTTGAACGATCGCATATTTTTTTTTCTTCGAAATTCTCATAGTTGAAAAATATCAAATTTTTCATGAAAAAAATTCGAAAAACAGTTGACCCTAAAAACCATCCCTGCAACTTCCCGCTCATTTCATATTTAAGCCCTCGAAATTGCACTTATTACGTTTTTGAGCTCTTCGAGCTCAAAAATATAATTTTCGTTTCATTTTGAGCTCTTCGAGCCCAAAAGTTTAATAGAAGTTTAATAAAAAACTATTTTTTTGAATTTTCAAACCGCAATAACTTTTGAATGAATTTACCGATTTTCACGCGGTTGTTGCGGCATTTGATGCAGTTTTTTAAGCCTCATGAAGGATCTTTAAGTTTAAATGGATCGAACAAGGAATTTCGAAGTAATTCTTAAAAAAAACTTTTTTCGGTTTTCTTCCGACAACGATAACTCACGAACGAATCAACCGATTTCGACCGGGCTGACGGCGATCGACGTGGTTTTTTGTTGTTAAGAGCTGATGAGTTTTTGGAATCGATCGATAAATCCGTTTCAAAGTTATTTCAAAGAAACAAGATTTGAAAAAAATTTTTTTTGTAGTTTTTTTGAGATTTCTCAAAATCTACCAGTTCAAATCGGTCCAAATTGTATTCAAAATCTAAGTTTGGTCAAGTTCTTTCGAATGGCGCTAACCGCGATGAAATTGGTCAATCCGTTCAAAAGTTATAAGAGGTTTACATATTAACAAAAAACACACACCCACACACACACATACATACAGAATTAGTGACACCCTCCTGAGAGTAGTCAGGGAAGCTTCCTAGGACCTCAAAACGTGGAGATCTGATGAGAACTCGATTTTCGAAAAACGGGGTAAAATCAATAACTTCCCGATGTTTGAAAATTTTCAATTTTCTTAGCGGGAAGTTAAAAATTTTCTTTTTTAATTGATCAAAAAAATTATCACATTTAAAAATGTGTGTTATTGTTATTACGAATGAAATACGGAGAACAATACTAAGAATAGCTAGATTTGTGTGGACGCATTTTATCAATGGTTTTCGGTCACAAAAAAATTTCGGCTAATTTTAAATCTTTTAAAAATAATTAAAAAATTTCTTGAAAAAAATTTTCAAAAATACTATGATAATTTCACTGTGAAATAGAATAATTAATAAAAAAAAAAGTTGAAAATTTTACGCAATTGAAATGGACAAAAGTTGTAAAAGTTCCTCAAGGTCGATCAAAAATATTCATAATAGATATATTATTTAAATTTACTCTTTATAAATTTTCTGTTGAGCTGAGGTTGAAAAAGTGATTGCTTTGCATGAATGGCAGGAACAATTTAAAGTGAGTGCAAGGCTGACGGCTTTTCGACAGTAATGCGCATCCTACACTTTCGTTATCGAAGCGTGTAATATTAAAATATTATAAAAAATAAAGCAAAAATTACCGCAATCTACGTAAAAAAAAAAAGAACTACCATTTAAAATTATCAAGTGCATTTTTCCCTTTTTAAATAAAAAATAAAATTACCATAGCGCGGACGTCATGTCCAATCATCGCACTCTCAACACTGACAAAAACGAATCTATTTTCGCTGTCGTCAATAATATAACTGCGAGCAAAAGTCCGAAGATGAAGTCCTGCTCCTCTCTGATCAATTTTTGCGTACCCCATCTAGAAAAATTAATCGTTTTGAAACGTTGCAACATTTAAAAAATTTGACACTGAGTTATTTTTTATAGTCCAAGTTCCTGATAATTTTCATTATTGTTTATAAATCATGGATGATAATCGTAGTCATAATTAATCGTTTTATTAAATAAATAAATCATTGAATTAAAAAAATTATAGATTTCAATTAAATAAATCAATAATTACAAAAACAATTTCTGCGATTGGACCAGTTGTATCAGCGATTCCAGTTCCAATGTTGTAAGCCATTTGTACAGCCGGAAGTTCCAAAGTGATCAAAATTAAGAGACTGAGAAGGGCTTTGGGCCCCGTTGACAATCGTAAATCCATTCAATCACCACTCTCAGCTGAAATCAGATCCAATTAATTAGAATATTATCAATTAATACACTGAAAAAAATTAACTTTAATCAAGACAAAAAATTTTTGAATCAAGTAAAATTTACTCGAATTTCTTAGTTTAAGAATTTTTACTCTTAAATCAAGAAGATGTTCTTCAAAATTATTTACTTGATTCAAATTTGGTGTATAAAATTTTGGTGTGAGAATTACACCAAATATCGTGTTAAATTTGGGCAATGTCAATTGAAAACTTTTATACCGTCAAACATGTAAATGTACAATTTGTAGTAATTTTGCGTTAAGAAATTAAATTTAATTATTTAAATACTACAACAAATATAACAAATTTTTTATAGCTCGTGCAGTCTAATGGATGTTTAGTCTTACAACCAAGTTGTCGTTATGAGCCCAGTCTAGGGGATCCGAACAAAAACAGTTTCACTGTAAAAAAATCGCGCCAAGTCCACGTTCATAAGACTATTAAGAAAAAAAAATTGTTTTTTTCTTTACAAAAAGATATAAAATAAAAAAATTAAAAAATCCAAGTAACCGATATGATTGTTTATGATTTTCGGAAATTAAAAAAAATTTTGTTGTAAATTTAAAAATTAAAAAAACAATTTTGGAACGTATTTAGTGTGCGCGGTTGCAAAATATTTTACTTTTAACTAAATTCGTAAAATCTATTTACTATGCATTCTCGAATATTTTAGTCTGTGGCAGATCACTTTGCCCATCGAAAAAAAGTCAGGATCGAAATTTTTGCGTTGCTATAGTTTGTGCTGATTAAATTTAGTAATTTCAAGTAGATTAATTGTTATAAGTGAATATAATTAATTAATAACAGTAAAATAAAGTATGAATTACTGTTATAATATACAATTTAGGAAAAAAAAGTACCGTAGAATTAAATAAAATTTTGCAACCTCAAAATACCGTTCTGCTTACAGTAAACACAGTCGGTAGTCTGGCGCTCCGTTAACAACGGATTTGAACGGAACTTGGCGCCAGATTCTACCGAATCTGTGGATGTAGGAGAAATTTTTCTCGAAATTTCAGTATCCCTACTGCTGCGCGTTAATTTTGTCGTCCCTATATTATTTATTATAAGCCTATTTCATTGTAAGCGCGTCGTCATATGCTCATTTTTTGTTTTTTTTTTTTTTATCAATTATTAAATGAGTCGTTTACTTAATTAATACTAAACTTAGTTTTTAAATTTGATAGTTTACAGAGATTTATTCGGAGTACTCTAGCAAAAAACGTAAAAGAATGGTCAAGTGGGGGAAATTTTGTTTACTCGCTTATGGCCGAGTGAGGAGAAGAGACTTATGAGGGGGCCACTTGTGACGGGTATTCGGCTGTAATCGTTATCCAGGGTCACAACGCAAAAACATATTTTTCGCGAGATCGTTAACACGTGTAGAACTACTTCATGATAATAAATACTACTATTATACTAAAAACAAAGTCTTTCTTCGCATCTAAATGATATACGACGCTTGATAATTTATTTATTGATTTTTATTTTTATTTTTTTGTTTTCGCAAGTTGAATATCACTGCTACAATAATACCATAGGTTCTCAGTTAGCGAATTGAATTATGAAAGCCGATAAATTATTGATTTTTTTTCTAATGAAAAAAAATACATCGGTAATAATAAAAAATGTAAACAAGAAAAATATCTGATATAAAAATTGTTTGTTGCTTATTTTTTAATTTAAATAAAAATTTGTTTGCTCTATTAATAATAATTTTATAAAATTAAAGATATTCTTGTCACAAAATATTAATAAGTACTGACTTATGATAATAAATTTAAAGCAATCTACTGCGTTTTTGTTACTTCCAAGGAAAACAATAAGATAAAAAATATATATAAATTGTATACGTATAGCTAAGGCTTAGAATTGTGAGTAATAAAATACCGTAAACACAATGACTAATTAGAGTTTTGTTGGAGTTTTATATGGTCAATTGTAAGTTAATTGTTCCGGGAATAACTAAATTAAATCAATATAATTATGTTGATTGTCGATTTTCGAAGAATTCCCTAAAATATTTTTCTTACTACGCTGGTCGAAAGTACGGGGTTTCTGTTGCGATTTCACTGCAGAAAGCATGAAATTTATGCCGTGGTCGAGTCGCGCATGCGCTTTACGACGGGGAGCCGAAAAAATGTATTCATGCACTGACAACGAGACACGAGGCGGCAGAAAGTCCAAAAGTCGGTAGTCGCGCTCACTCTATTACTTATGTTTACAAGCCTAACCTTACTTGTGATTGTTATGAATGTATCTGTCTTGTGTTATGTGTCAATGATTTGAGGTTGAAACTGAGTTAATTACAGAAAATGAATATTTATTTTAATGAAAATTAAAGTAGCAGATATTTAATAAATTTTAGAATTTAAAAAAAAAATAAATTAGTGCAAAAAAAATTAGAAAAAAAATTGACATGTAGAAATTTTAAAAAATTAAAAATGCAATTTTTTAAAAACCATTTTTTTTTTAATTTATTTGATAAAAAAAATTAAGAAATGATTAAGTGACTACTAACTTTGTCATTTTATTTTAATGAAATAAGACTTGTTAAGTATTTAAATTACAAATTATGTGTCAATGATTTGAGGTTGAAACTGAGTTAATTACAGAAAATGAATATATTTATTTTAATGAAAATTAAAGTAGTAGATATTTAATAAATTTTAGAATTTAAAAAAAAATAAATTAGTGCAAAAAAAATTAGAAAAAAAATTGACGTGTAGAAATTTTAAAAAATTAAAAATGCAATTTTTTAAAAACAATTTTTTTTTTTTTAATTTATTTGATAAAAAAAATTAAGAAATGATTAAGGTACTGCTAACTTTGTCATTTTATTTTAATGAAATAAGACTTGTTAAATATTTAAATTAAAAAAAAAAAAAAAAACGAGGAATATTCTTTATTCTGATCGATATTCTCAAATAAATAAATCTATTGGTGAACAAATAATTATTTGAAAAAATATACAAACAGATTTTTGTCTTAATTTTTTTTTCTAGATATGTATTTTACGATTATTATTTCATTTTTTTGTTTTTATTTTATTCTTAAAATCAGAGTTAATTTATGATATATTTATAACGTTAAATTTATTCAGTTAAATTACGATCTTTTCTTAAAAGAAAGTAGTAATATGATAGATTATATATTAATATCTTTATTGACAGGTGTATTTGATGCCTGCCCCCCCCCCCCCCCCCGGCCAGCAGCACTCGCTTTGCTCGTGCCGCAAATGTCGGGGGCAGGCATCAATTTTTTTCAACGCAATTTTTAACGTACTTTCGACCGCATAGTAAGAAAACTAATATACACTACATGGGCAGAAATTTGAGAGCCCTGAACTGCGTGCCATGATGCCCTCGGCTTCGCCTCGGGCATATGGCGCGCAGTGCAGGAATCTCAAACTTTCTGCCCTTGTAGTGTAATATACTATTAATAGCGCATATACCTAATTATGTATATACTTGATATACTTGTATAAGTGACGATAGTGGATGGTGTTTATAAGAGATAACGTAAACGTAGTTTTTTTTTATCGTTACGAGTATACATGGAATTTACATTAGTACAGTACTATGAAAATATTGAAAAATTTTAGGATAAAAGAAAAATCAAATGGTAGATTACACTGAGAAATTTTTTCCTTTAATTTCTTGTAAAAACTAATATAGGTAAAAATCATGAAGAAAAATTTTTTAAGGATTTTTGTGACTAATTGTTTATTTTTCTTAAAAAAATATTTGAAAAAAAAAATAAGAAAAACAAACAATTTATTTAAGGTAGTTGTCGTAGTTAAAACATACCATCAGAAAATTCTAAATTTTTTTATACTTATTAAGGATATGATGATAAAATTGTCTTAAAAATTTGAATTCAATTAAAGTCAGATGTATTTTTTCATACCACAGTTTTTTACATCTTAAAAACCAAATCTGTTAACAGTAAATGTTCATACTCATTACACTACGTTATAATAAAATCTTATTTAATATTTACAACTAACGAGATCTACAGCTCGTTGTCAGTTAGTAAAAATTACATTAAGTATTGATGTGTTGAAGTATTTTTAAGTAATTTTAATACTTGATAAAATTTTTGATATGTATTTTGTGTGAAATAATGAAATTTACTTTTCAAAAAAAAAAAAAAAAATGAATTCAATTAAAAATTGGATATTTAGCAGTGATTGCATACACTCTATGAAATTCTGTACCAGTTTCTTAGTTATAAAAAAAAAACTAACTGTCATAAACTTTCAAAAAACTGACAGCCTTTTAATGTATTTGTTGTGAGTTTAAAAAAAAATTTTTGACCGTCTAATTTTTTATAAATAACGGATTAAAGTTCATCAATTTATGAAAAAGTATATACCTACGGAATCGGACGGAAACAATTGTATGGGTAGCGTCTCCACAAGTACATTTTTGCGTAAAAATTATGGATTACTTAAGCTACAACCTCATATACTTTTGCGGTGTGTATAATCTCTAATTTTTTGACAATATTGTACCATGACAACTACCTTAATACATATTTGCGGTTGTAATTTCTCGTGGTATTCTTTCTAATTTTATTTACATAACTTTATAGTTTGATAATAATTTTTTTTTTATTACAAATACAAATGAGTAAATGATAATTAATTCGATAAATAAAATAAAATTTAAAAAACTTAAACATTTTATACAAAAAAATTTTCTGTTAAAACAACTTAAAATTAACGACTAGAACATTTTTTTTTTCAACTTTTCAAAATTTTCTTCAAAATTCTTAGCTTCCATAAAAAAATTTTTAACTTTATAATTCATTACTTAACAAAAAAAAATATTTACAATATAAATAAGGTAAAAGACCCAGTTACTGATACTGGCTTATTTTTTTGACATTTGCAATTTTATTCCAATTAAAAAAAATAAAATGTTCTCAAAAAACCAATTATCTA